TTTTTGAAAATATTTTTTAAAGTGTGATTGTGAAAGATGTTTTTGTTTTGGAAAGTGTGAACAAGGATTATGAACATTCTACCTACTTAAGGTTTTTCTTGTAATTTTCCTCCTCCTTTAGATAGTGCTAACCTACTATTAGTTAGTAGGAATCCCTATCGTTGGATGTGAGGGACAAGCGTGGGTCATTGTACAGTCATCGAAGGAAACTCGTAGGGAGGCTTTAGCAATTTTATCATTAAGGGACAAGACGTTTACCAAAGGAAGCATTGAAGGGTCATTGAGGGACTAAAATCTTTGATTTCGAGGGATAGTGTTAAAGCGCCCCCATGTTCGAGGGACATGACTGTGTCTCCGAGGCAACAAGGGAGGTTACCCTAGAGGTGTAAGTGTGCGAGGTGATTTGTCTTCAGTTATTGTTTATCTTTGAGATTAGGGTTATATATCATTTGTTTTTTGTCTTTCCATACAAGCCTAATTACTAAGCAGTAAACAAAATAATAAAGAAAGCGGTAAAGTGCGAAAAGTAAAATTCTACGCTATTACAGGGCTTCGAGAATAGGGGGTACAAGTAATAAAATATGGAGAAATAGAATCCTAATTAACTATTACAAACAATGAGCAGTTACATAATCATAAGAAAACGTGAGAACAATAAATTGCGCTAATTGTAAGATAGGAAAGCGAAAGGAGGAGGGAATTGTTTTGGGCGATTTTATTGATAAAAAAGGTTTGATGATTAACCTAATAACCTAATTAATTTTAATTAAAATAAAAAAGTAGATTAATTAAATAAAAATCCTAGAAAATATAATTTGATTGATTAAATAAAAACTTAAGAAAACTAATTAGGGTTAATTAAATAAAAAAAAATCTTAATCTAATTAGGTTTTATAAAAAAAAATCAAAGGTTTTAAAAAACGTTTTGTGAAAATTAAAAAAAAAAAAAAGGAGAAAGAGTAAGAAGAAAAGAGAATTGGATAAAATAATCAAAACGGGTAGGGGTGGGTGTTGAACTCACTCCCTTAGAACTTTCAACCAATATATTCACCACCAGGCCAGGCGCGCCTTTATGTCAAAGAAGGGAAACAAGCGCCTTTTGTAATCTGCAACAAATAAAATCATGAGAAATGTCAAAATGCCAAAAGGTTGGGATCGAACCCACGCCTTGGAATAGTAAAAGTCTATCGCGCGCGCTTCAACTGCTAGGCCGATAATACATCTGTTAACTTATGTGAAACGAATAAAATAAATATTAAGAAAAATGCCTGGACCGGAGAGACGTCGGAGCCCTAGCTCCGGTCGTAACAATGGTAAATATTGATTAGTCTTGTGCATTTGATAATTATTGTTATTCTCATTGCCTTAATTTAATTGTCCGAATGAAATAGGAGAAAAATCATAAAGAGACCTAAGTACAAAGCATAGTTAGAGAGGTATCCAAAGAGAAAGCTTGAGATTGAAAGTTTCTTACAAAAACTCTTCGCGTCATGTGAATTCCAGAATAACTACTTTTTGATTAATTTGAACGGATGTCTCACGTATGAGTACCAGGATGTTGTGATTTTCAGAAGTTCTTTTAATGGCCACTTGATGTCAAACAACAATTTAAGTTTGGGGGAGTCTGATTAGTGGTTTTTACAAAAATATTTAGCAGTTATTTTAGTTATCGTTTCTTTTACTTAATGATTTTTTATTTTGTTTTATCGCATATTATGCTTTGGTTTTGTGTTTTAGGGTTTTCAAGTTCAAAAGAATAAAACAGGACAAATCGAGGCAGAAAATATGCATAATCAAAGTTGCAGAGGAAATGCTACAGGAGCCCTAACATGGGTGGTCGTGTCATATGACACGGGACGTGTCAGGGGGAATACTTGGAAAGCATGGAAAATAGAGCTGGCACGGGCTTTCATGATTTTTCAGTATTTGGGACCTAGAGGGGTGTTTTGGGCATTTTTGACCGAGACAAATGAATTTTTCACTATTTAGCCATGTTTTGAAGATAAATTAGGAGACTTTTTGGCAGGGAAGAATAGTTTACACGACGGAAGATTGTAAAAATTAAGGTTAGACTGTGGCAAAATTAAAAGTTGGAAGAAAAAGATGTGACACGAGAAGAAGATTGCGTAACATCATATGACAAAGATGCAGTAAGAATAGAAGAATTTGAGGTTAACAAAAATGATGGGGAATAAGAAATAAGGAAACTTGAAGATGATCGATTTTTGGATGAAACTAAAAATTTGCCAATTTGTGAAGATGTAGACATCCAACCAGAAAATCTTCAACAAAAGAGTCACCCGAAAAACTATTTTCATAACAAGGCGGATGAAAGACAAGAAACTGAAAAAGTATTAGATGTCATTTATGCCTTGTTCAATAAAATCAAGCTAAAAATGATAAATGATTTGGAAGCAACATAATCATTACTTTAAGTTCTTGGAGTTGCTACCAAACAAAAGAAATAAAAAATATGAGGTGTTCTTTGTGTCATTTATGCCACCCTAACAAGGGGAATGAAACATCGAGCCATGTGACGTTAAATGAAGTGCTTCGTGGGAGGTAACCCACGCTTTTAATAACTTAGTTTTTCATTTTGTGTTTGTTTTATTTTGTCTGCAGGTGATAAAAAGGGAGTCTTACTGGTGAAAGCTAGGAGGTAGCAACATGTGTTGCATTTCCCTCTGTGAGTCACCTTCGTCGAGCTTGTTCTGAAATATTGGAGTCAATGTTTAGTTCAATTTTGGGGGTTTATTGCTTTTCATTTTGAATTATTTGTTGGTTATATGCTAATCGATGTGTAAATCCACGAGTTGAAGTCCTTCCCAAATTTTGCCAAAAATATTTGTTTTGTTCAAAAACTTGTTTCTCATAGAGTTCGAGAACAGTATATAGAGACAAAGGGTTTTTTGTTTGAGGGTAGGAAGTTCAGAATAACATCACAGGAATACAAGTCTAATGTGTATATTTATACCATGGTCCTTGAATCCTGAGAAGTACTCCTCGAGTAGTTTATTTATATAGTATGGCATAATCTTGATTCACATGTGTAATACGATGGGAAAACTGACTTGGTTTTGCATTTTATCACAAATGTTGCGGATAGCAAGAGTCGCCACTGACCTTTCTTTTATCCAATAAGGAAAGAATGAAAAAAACAGGAAATACCTTTCAGAATTTTGAGTTTAGGGGGTAGGTTATGAAAAGGAAAGGTGTTAACACCCTTTTCATCCGTAGTTATCTATGGGCTCTTAATCGCTAGCTCACTTTGTTTGAAAATGCTTTTTTGTATGTGTTTGAAAATATTTTGAAAATTCCTAAGTATGGAAAACTTTGTAATGATTCTCGTATCAGTTGTGAACGCATACAAAGTGTTTGTTTTGAAAATATTTCATAGAAAAGTGTTGGTGAAAATATTTTGTTTTAGTGAGCAAGCGATTAACAATATTCTACCCTTACTCAAAAGTCTTTCGTGTTATTTCTCCTCCTTTAGATAGTGTTATCCTACCATTAGTTAGTAGGAAGCCCTATCGTTGGATGTTAAGGGACAGGCGCAGGTCATCGTACAGTCATCAAAGGCAACTTATAAGGATGCTTTAGCAATTTTATCGTAAGGGACTAGGATCGTTTACCAAAGGGTTGTCGAGGGACTATGATGTTTTTTGTATCGGAGGAACTTTGCTAAAGCGTCCCCCTGTTCGAGGGTAATGACTATTTTATTCAAAGAACAAGTGGGGTTACCTTAGAGGTGAGTGTGTGAAAAGTGTATCGAATTCAGTTATTTTATCTTGTGATTAGGGTTTTCTAAATTGTTTTTAGTCTTGCCATACAAACCCTAATTACTAGCAGTTTATAAAGTAGACAGTAAAGGCAGAAATTAAAGTCCTACGCTAATACAAAGATTCGGGAAATGGGGTACAAACCATAAAAATTGGGGGAGATAGAAAGCAAATAAAGCCCTAGTTAAACTATTACATTCTATAGCAATTACATAATAGGAAAAACTAATGCAAAAATATTAAAGCGCGTGGAACAGTAAAAAGGAAAAGAAACAGAGAAATTGTTTGATAAAAAAATGGTTAATGATTTAACCTAAACCTAATTGATTTAAAAAGGTTAAGCGATTAAATTGAGAAAACCCTAAAGTCTAGGTTGATTTTAATTGAGAAAACCTAATAGATCAAACTAGGTTTTATTGATAAAAACCTAAAATCAAATTAATGTTAATTAAATAAAACCTAAAATTGATTAAATTAAAAAACCCTAAATTAATTATTTGAGTTTATAAAGAAAAATCAAAGGTTTTGTGAAAAATGATAGGTTTTATGGAAAAGGTTTTTTTAATTTGAAGGAAAATAATGAGGGAAAGGATTAGAAGAATAGAGAATTAAAAATAGAGAAATAAATTAGTGGGGGTGGGTGTTGAGCCCACGCCCTCAAGACCTTCACACTGCAAGCATACAACCAGCCAAGCGCTCATTTATGTTTAAGGAGTAGCATCAATGCCTTCTATTTTGTTTCTGAAAAAACATGAAAAATATAAAACTTAAAGTACCAGGGGTGGGTGTCGAACCCACGCCCTTAGATGTTTTAATCGATACGTCCACCACCAGGCCAAGCGTGCCTTGGTGTTAGTAGCAGACGCCTCCACTATTATTTTGCATCTGACTTTCCAAAACAAATAGAAAACCCCAATGGAATTCTTACACATATTAACTTAATATAATACATAAAAGTAGAAAACATCGAAACAAGAGATAGGGTTCACGATACCCATTCTCTTTCTAACTCTTTCTCTTCTCCTAGTCCCTTCACAACGAGCCATCAAAACAAACACATCACCAACATTGTTCTTCTACACAACTTGATGATTCGACCATACAGGGCAACAAGAAGAAAGGAAACGAATATGGTCGACGGTGTTGGAAAGTATTTGTGGTGCGCGGATAGCATGTTATTGATGTCATAGCGAGATCGACATGAAGCTGCGACTGTGACAATTATCGTGCGGTCGGAAATGGAAGGGCTTCGGGGTCGGTGGATTCGTCGTGTTTGGCCGTTCGCAGAGATGGGTTGAGAATTCGTTGCTGGATATTTGGCTCTTCTTGTTCTTCTTTTTCTATCCGGTGAGATCTTTCCGCTTTTTCACTCTTTTTCTTCTTTCGAATTTCTGATGGGGTTTTATTTAGGAAGATGATACGAAACATTAGGGTTAGGGTTTTATGCAGCTTTTGTGTTCTTGGTTACGGTTGTTTTTCTGGTGAATGTGAACAATTGTCTTGCTATATTTCTGAAGGGTTTGTGGAAAAGGAAGATGATGAAATATCTTAGGGTTTGTGTTTTTAGTGCAGCTTCTGTATTGTGTATAGTGGCTTTGTCCTCCAAAACTGTGCAATGATTGTTGTCTTATATTGATACAATTTAGGGTTTCTGGATTCTGGACTCTCTGCGTCGTTGGGACTTTCTTATCTAATATGTTTTATATTTTCTTATACGTTGCCGCAATTCTGGGATCCGGCTGTGAAATTTTTTTTGGGGCTTTTACGAAACCTGATGTGATTTTTGTGTGAATTATGTATTGCTTGGGCTGGACTGCTGCGATTTTGAATTTGCTGCCTATGATGAAATCATGAGTTTATTCTTTTTGTACCTCCTTTGTAAACCAAAATAAAATTTTTGATTTGCAATAGAGGTTCTTTTGGGCCTATGATTACTCATTCAATTCCTGACTTTGTTTTGAAAATGTATGAGGCCTCTGTGTTGCTTGCGAACATGATTGAAATGGCCCGAATAATTGAACTCAAAACCATCTTATTTCGATTCCTATCATGACACCCTAATGATGAAATTGAAAATAAACTTGCTTGAAAACTTTCTTTTCTTGTGCTCAAATTTAATTGTTTTGATTTCTTGCTAACATTTCCTTTTCTTTTTCATGTATGGTTAATGAGAGGAAAAAGATGGCATAGAAGAATCTTGGAGGGAAATTTGAAGTGTGAAGCTTTTGAAGTCTCACCATAGAATCTCATAGGATAGATTATAATGATTTTAGAAACTCTCTTCATCTGCCTTATAAGAATTAAACTTGTCTTGTAATTTCAAGTGACTTAAGAACAAAAAACACTCAACCTTTCAACTTGCCTCTCTTGTAATTTTTCAAAATGGAATTTGTAATACAAACATTTTTCCAAAGTGCTTGTAAGACAAGTTAAATCTTGAATGAAATATTTGAATTATTTTTGCAATACTTTGAATAAAACTTGCCATGTTGAATGGTTTTGAGATAAAATTGAATGAATTTTGATAGAGATATTTTGAATCATGAATCAAACTTGCAATCTTGAAATATTGATCCACTTGCCATGTTTGAACCAAAATAATTATTTTAAGGCATTTTGAATTGAACTTTGAATGAAAGAATACGCCCTGCGATTTGAATTAGAACCATGCTTTGTAAATATTGTCACTTGTTTCCAAAGAGATTAAACATGAACAATTCTTTCGATCTCCTATGCCTAAAAATGAACCTTAATCTCTCTTAAGTTCAAAAATCTGAAATAAATTGCAATCGAGGGACCAATTCCACTTCGACAAACAAAAGAAAAATGACCTCAGTCCAGGAAGAATGCCTTGCTCACCAAGCATTTACAACTCCATACCTTGCTTTCACAATTCGTGCTTTGCAGTTAAATCCAACAAGACATCTCAAATTTAAAATGATCTTAAAACAAATTCCTTAAGGAAAACTTAGAAGATGATAAGGCTTTGAAGCGTTAAATCCACTAGACTTCAATTAATGAATGTTAACCAAGCCAAGAATCCAAATTAATCTTCATTTCTCGAAGATACCATGTCTTCAAACAAATCAAGAGAACCCTCAAGCTCATCTCCTAAGCCATGGTACTTGTATTTCAATCCTACTCAACAACAATGCCCCGGAGAGTCCTATGGGATGGAAATGATACTTGGAGCATAGAAGAACATCTCTAATGAACCTCAGATATTATCGAAGGTGTATTGAGACAAAATTTAAAATGATAAATTTTTCTAATATTTTGTCAAGGAAGACGTCACAGATTCAATAACCAACAATCCTAGCACAAGAGCCACTAGATGGGAGAAACATGATTCAAGATCAAAATACTTGCAGTTCTAGTTCTCTGATGGAACAAAGAATCAGTGTGATATCTTGAGAACTAGAAAGCCTGGGTAGCCTAAAGCGAGTGAAAACCCTAGGAGCGTGAAGGGATATTTTTGAATGAAATGAGAGGGAAAATTTTGGGGTACAACAGCTGCTTCTGTTCAATCTTCTTAAACCTGAAGAGTTAGACTGGCATGTCTTCCATTCGTGACTTGAAGGTAGAAGATGATTAAACACTTAAGTGCCCAGAAAATTTGCACTCGCCTGTGCAAGAAGTAACATTGTTGGTTGATTGTATCAGGTATGGGCTTAAAGATGCCATTTGGAGAGTGACTGAATGTTGTCGGAGATGGGCTTATAGATGCCATCCATAGTACATGTTGATAGGAATATCAGAATAAGTCTATGCCTGACTATATCCGAAAGAACATCAGAGTGAATCTACGCTTGATTTTATCTGAGTGATTTACTAGAATGAGTCTACACTTGACTTTGTCTAGAAGATACGTTTGGAATGAGTCTACGCTCAACTTTGTCCAGAAGAGTTTCAGAAGGAATCTATGCTTGATTTCATCCGAACTAGAAGATGTGTATGCCCGACTTCAACTAGAAGAGGTACCAAAAAGAGTCTACACCTGACTTTTTCCAAAAAGAGTATCAGAAGGAAATCTACGCCTGATTTCATCTGAACTAGAAGATGTCTACGCCTGATTTCAACTAGAAGAGGTACCGGAAAGAGTCTACACCTGACTTTTTCTAAAAAGAGTGTGAGAAGGAAATATACGCCTGATTTCATCTAAACTAGAAGATTTCTATGCCCGACTTCAACTAGAAGAGGAACCGAAAAGAGTCTACGCCTGACTTTTCCAAAAAGAGTAAGGAAATATACGCCTGATTTCATCTGAACTAGAAGATGTCTACGCCCGACTTCAACTAGAAGAGGTACCGGAAAGAGTCTATGCTTGACCCTTTTCCAAAAAGAGTATCAGAAGGAAATATTAGCCTGATTTCATCTGAACTAGAAGATGTTTACACCCGACTTCAACTAGAAAAGGTATTGGAAGGAGTCTATGCTGGAAGGAGTCTATGCCTGAATTTTACAAAAAGAGTATCAGAAGGTAATCTACGCCTGATTTCATCTGAATGATGCACTAGGAGATATCTACGTCTGACTTTCTCTAGAAGAGATATCTTTCAGAATGACCTGCTGGGGAAAAATTTTAAGTAGCTACTTTTCAGATTTAGTCTCTGAGGGAAATACTTGTCTGTTTGCGAACTTATCCTGAAAAGACAAAGTTAGTTTTATGCAATGTCATGTTGCATTGCATAATGATACTCTCGAAATAAATGTGCATGTGATAATGCGTTTCGTATGCATATGATATGATAAATGATGTATGAATGTGAGATATCGTTGAAGTGTAGCGGTAGCTTCGTATAACATTTTGGATAGGGAAAATAAATCTCTGATTTTTGCTGGGGATGAAGAATATGTATCTTCAATCTGCTGGGGATTCCTGCTTGCTAGTTGAGGAAACTTTGTTGGGGAATTAGATTTATGCTTGGGGAGAAGAACTCAAGAACATTGGTCGTTCATCACTCTACTGGAGAGTTTAATTCCTATTTATCTTGACTGGGGTTAAAAGAGATAGATAACCTTCTGAGGTGATGTTTGACTGAGTTTTCGATATGGATGTTGACTCGTCTGGGAGGATAAGATTAACTGATACTTAGTCCTGGTTTCAGATTTTGTAGCGACTCTATGGGGATACTGGTTTGGACTACCCTTTGCTGGTGAGAATATTTTTACTGGTGATTTACAGTAGTCAGAAGGATATATTCGAGCTGGGGAAATAAACCCTGTTGGGGGAAATAAACCATGTTGGAGAAATAAACTCTGCTGGAGAAACACTCTCTTGAGGAAATAAACCTGTTGGAGGAATATGTTCTGCTGGGGACATGAGTCCTAGTAAAGAAGAAAAATCTGCAGGGGATTGAATCTGGCTAGAGAAATAAACCCAGCTAGGGAAGAGAATTCTTGTGAACTGTGTTGTTATCATAATCTAGTAAATATTGGAATCCTGTAGGTTGGCGATGTTGTCGGGGAAAAGATTATACTCCTTTGTCCGCTAGGGGATCTGCTGGTGAGTATGATTAGAGTATTTCAGTCTTGCGGGGAAGATTTATTTGAAGATGAGCTTGTATAGTTTATTCAACGAGGAATTGTCTTATGGGAACTACTCTATGGGTCAACTTTAAAGTAGATTACTTTGTGGGGATTTATGGATGACTTGAACATTATCTCAACTTCTAGAGCCCTCGGTAAATGTTGATCAGGGTGCTATGTCTTCTGCTGATAAACAAGTAATTAGATAAAGGGACATAGTCATACACTTTAATCCTAATTATTACCTGGACCGCCCTTTCGTATTTTCAGCCCACCGGGATACCCCTTATTGCCCAAGCTGTCTTTTCAGGTTTTCGACTTGCCGGGTGTATAATTTTATTCATATATCTCTAATTTTTTCCCGAACTCTTGTGGTTTGCCGGGATGCCCTTATTTCTTCCTAGGCCAGTCAACCTAGTGGGTATTTTTTCGTGCGTAGTATTTTCTGACTATGTCCGTGTTCACAGGGTGTGGAGAATTGTCATTGTCCATAGTAGTAAGTGTTGTATCAATTCCAGAAAATGTTTGCTTGATCGTGCGTAACCCTTCGTATGCGGGAGTCTATTTGCCCATGGGATTAGTCTGGTGCACCCGATGCTTGAAGTTATTGATCAACCATTTATTTCCAATTTTCTAATAATCTTGACCTTCTTCAGTACTCTTTTAAGAATTGTCATGGTTGAATGACATCATCTGATACTACTGTCATAGACAAGCAATTTAGCGACACTGAGGATAGTGGCTTTTGCTTAAACTCATGATCAATGTAGCATTCCCCAAGTGATTCGGATGGAGATCTACCCCTGGCTATTCATCACTTTTGAGAGATTATTTGAATCTTGACTTGACTGCCACATATGAGTTGGACAATAACATGTCATGCCCCTTGATTTATAACC